ACATTTACACAATCAAGTAGACACCAGGTTTTTCGATATTACGCCATTGACTACCCAATTATCCCACTGCTAAGATATATAAATCTAAATAACCTAAACTACTTTTGTGTATAAGTGGAGACACAAACACTCAAACATACTCCAAAGTTCACGCTAATAAATACAATCATTACAAATTAAGGAGTATTTCAACCAACGTACAAAAAACTATACGTTCATCTACTCCAAGTGTTGAATCAACGTGTACTTCCACGCTTAACCACTTACGCAAATAAATACTTTCACACAATCAAGTAATCGATAGGGTTTTTTGACAATATGCCAGAGTCTACCCGTCTATCCCACTGCTAATATATATANACATATATATATAAATACCCTCCACTACTTTGGTGTATTTGTGGAATCACTATATTCCATCACAATCACCCAAATATACTTCAACGTTCACGCTAATAAATACAATCACTAAAAATTAAGGAGTATTTCAACCAACGCACAAAAGACTATACGTTCATCTGCTTCAGGTGTTGAATGAACGTGTATTTTCACGCTTAACCACTCACGCAAATAAATACGTTCACCCAATCGAGTAGACACCAGGTTTTTTGATATTACGCCAGTGACTACCCGATTACCCAACTGCTAAGATATATAAATTTCAATAACCTAAAATACTTTTGTGTATAAGTGGAGACATAAACACTCAAACATACTCCAAATTTCACGCTAATAAATACTATCACTAAAAATTAAGTAGTATTTCAACCAACACACAAAAGATTATAGTTCATCTACACCAAGTGTTGAATCAACGTGTACTTACACGCTTAACCACCCACGCAAATAAATACTTTCACACAATCGAGCAGTCGATAGGGTTTTTGATACTATGACAGAGTCTACCCGATTATACCACTGGTAAGATATATAAATCTAAATAACCTAAACCACTTTTGTGTATAAGTGGAGACACAAACACTCAAACATACTCCAAAGTTCACGCTAATAAATACTTTCACACAATCGAGTAGTCGATAGGGTTTTTGATACTATGCCAGAGTCTACCCGATTATACCACTGGTAAGATATATAAATCTAAATAACCTAAACCACTTTTGTCTATAAGTGGAGACACAAACACTCAAACATACTCCAAAGTTCACGCTAATAAATACTTTCACACAATCGAGTGTCGATAGGGTTTTTTGATACTATGCCAGAGTCTACCCGCCTATCCCACTGCTAATTTGGGGGATTAGACGGGTATTAACTTTAAATTTAATTTAACTTTTTTAACTTAACTTCAAACTCGTCTTTATCAGCCGGAACCTTCGCCGCCGTTTCAGGACGTCATAGCCTTAGGTAAAAATCCACGAAGAATAGAATAAATAAATACCCTCCACTATTTTGGTGGATTTGTGGAATCCGTACATTCCATCACAAACACCCAAACATACGTTACCCAAACACGTTCACGCTAATAAATACGTTTATCTGCTTTAGGTGTATTATAATCAACGTATCCACACTCGCTTAACTACTCACGCAAATAAATACATGTAAACTTTATATATATATAAACCTATGTGTGTGTATATATATATATACACTTACCAAAATATCAAACTCAATCATTCAAATAGTCTAAATATGTAAATATAAGACAGACTGGAAGATTAGTTTTTCATCTAAAGGAGGAAAAACGGAAAGTTGAGCGATCTAAGGTTCCTCTGCTACTTAACTTCAAACTCGTCTTCATCAGCCGGAACCTTCGCCGCCGTTTCAGGACGTCATAGCCTTAGCTAAACATCCACGAGGAATAGAATCTACAAATGACGTAATTCTCGTAATTCGAGGCCGGAAGTGAGAGACCTTGCCTAGTAATTCGAGTGCTCGGTAATATTCAAATTATCGTCACGTTTATTAAAAATTCATTTTCAACACTTGCTCACGTCCAACACCCTCGGCAATTTTGTACAAATAGATTGTCTTATTGTAAATCCCAATGTTTAAAAACTTGGGGCCAAATCTATGGCATCTACTGACCAAAGACTAGCTGACCTAGTTCCGCAACGGTCACAGGTATATCGTTGAAAGATAAATTTTACATTACCTACCCTGGTTTATTGTTTGAAAATAAAAGACCAATGATATTATCAGGTAATGCAAAAATGATTTTCATCAATAAGAAATCGGACTTATTTATCAATAACCTTAGTACCTAATTATCCCAATAAATATTAGGTTGATGAACAAACCTTTTTCAGTTGGTAAGATTAAGAGAACATTTACCCACATTTTTGATTTTTTACTCGGATTACTACTAGATCTTGAGAATACCTTATTTATATCTCTGATTCCAAAGTCGTTCATATACCAGTCATTAAAGCCTAAAACTGTATACACGACACAGAAAATTTCATTAATTGGTACAATTTTTCAGAAAAATTTATCACTCGTGTGCACAGTTTTACAATAGGTAATGGGGTGAAGTCGGCGAGTATATGGACCTGTTTCACAAGGTGCAAATAATAAAATATTTAACTGGAAAAATTATAATACTAACTAACAAAAGTTGTGTTTTCAAAAATAGCAATACGCTCCTCTTCGACCAACTTGCTTCATTACGACGAATTTATTAACTTAAAAAATCGCGATTTGGGCCAGAGATGTTCATGTTATTTTCATGACATATCCAAGGCTTTCGATAAAGTTAAATTTTCGATTCTTCTCAGGAAGGTTGAACTTGATTCTTGGCTTGACTCCTTTCTGACTAGAAGATCTTATGTGTTGCATATAATGGTTCCATCTCATTCTCATCTCAAATTCCATTTGGGTTCTCTCAGGGCTCTAACCTTGCGCTGATACTTTTTGTATTATTTTTCAATGGATTTTAATCGGTTTTTCGTATTTATTCGTACTCTCTTTGACTAAGGACCTAAAGTTATGTTCTAATATTTCTTCCATTGCGGATTGTTTATTACAACAATTAGATTTAAATGCTCTCTTTACCTAGTGTTGTAATAATGATTTGTGTGCCAATCAGTCAAAATGCAGATGAATTAAATTCAATGGGTCTTCTAAGCTGATAGATTGTGATTTCTAGTCATATCACATTGGTGGTCTTCCCCTGGATGAAGTAAATGAAATAAATGACAACATTTTATATCAGTCATTGGTCCTTTTGAGTCATCTTGAGTTGTATTTCCGACATACATTTCTTAACAAGATTAATCAGGTTGAATATGCCCAGCGTTGAGCTTACAGATACTTGTCTTTTAGATTTAGCACACACATGTACCTTGCCTATGTCCATAGGCTTCTTTGTCACATTGTCCACACATGATGACCTGTCCACCGTGACCAGTATTGTTCTATTGTGTATCTCCATTTTTTTATCTGAAGCTCTTCATTAAGTTCTTTACCAGACCCCAAGACTTTTTCAAGGCTCCCGTGTGTATCCTTCATGCCCTGGCATTTCCTCTCCCAGGATTAGGAATCTCAGCCTAGATAGGCCTTCGCACCAACAGACATGTTCCGCTGTTTCTTCTTCTTCTTGGCAATATCTGCACAGGCTTGTTTCTGCCATCAAGGAGTCTGCGGGGTCCAGTTAGAAGTCCAACTATTCTAGTCCTAACACGTCCTAGATTTAGTAGTTATGCCTCTAGTTTCTGCGATGGTCCTTTGATGAACTTTTTCGCATGTCTCTGTCCTGGGCTTCCCTTTGAACGGAGGAAGCCATGAATCTTTAATACATTGTCTGATGGATGTTTTTGGCAGTTTGTTAGATGTAAGGCCCAATAGGTGCCCAGTACTGAAATTGACGCATCTGACAGACGGAAACATCTAGTAGGTAGGTACGCCTTCGGAATCTGCAGTGTCCAGTTAGCAGTCCAACTATTCTAGTCCAAACACGTCCTAGATTTAGTAGTTGTACCTCTAGTTTCTGCGATGGTCCTTTGATGAACTTTTTCGCATGTCTCTCTCCTGGGCTTTTCTTTGAACGGAGGAAGCCATGAATCTTTAATACATTGTCTGATGGACGTTTTTGGGAGTTTGTAAGACGTAAGGCCCAATAGGTGCCCAGTACTGAAATTGACGCATCTGACAGACGGAAACATCTAGTAGGTAGGTACGCTTCCGGAGTCTGAGGGTCCAGTTGGCAGTCCAACAGTCAGTCCAATTCCAGTCCTAGCACTTCCTAGATTTAGTACTCCTGCCGCTACTTTCTACTTTGGTCCTTTGATCAACATTTTCGTATGCCTCTGTCATGGGCTACATTCCCATTGAGCGGAGAACTTATTATTAATCCATTGTCTAATGGATCCGCGTTTTTGGCAGTTTGGTAAGTCATAAAAGGGTTCAAGGCCAATAGGTGTCCTCATTGAACTTTCCTTGACCAATTTATCGGCCTCTTCGTTGCCCCTCTGTCCTGTGTGTTCTGGCACCAAGACGAGGATAATTTTGTTATTTTCTCCAATGTCTGACAGGGCTCTAATGCAGTCCCAAATGACTCTGGGCTTTACCGTCGATGCAATAATTGCCTTCAGTGCCGCCTGGACTCAGACAGAAGGCGGGTTGCCTGTCTTACCTTCATATGAAAAGTTCTCAATTCTCAGATCTCCTCTCAGGAGATTCTCTCAAGTCTTGGACTGCAAGTCGACTTGTTTTGTGGAGCACCATCGGTTACACGAGACATAACACGCTTAACCATCTCGCCTCCCTGGGAAACACAATTCCTTCAGACTGTGATTATTTCTCAGACTTTTATATACTTTTAAAACGATCCCTAATGCTTAACGTTCTTATCTGTTGTACAGATGATCTCTGAACTTTGTTGTTGTTACTTTTATAATATTTATTTTAGCTTATACTTTTGATTATGTTTTGTAAGCTTATGACTATTCTTTTTTTGCGCCTTACCTGTAGATCTTATTTTATAAATAAATACATAATTAATAATTGCAATATAATAATTTTTGTTTATTTTGTAACAGGGGATCCTCCTAAGAAAACGAAAAGAAATGAGTCCTCCCAGGATTCAAATCTTCCTCCTCTTCCTTGTCTCGACACAAACCAAGGCACAATTTTTCAAAGATATTTATGATTTCGGTAAGTTATATATCAACAATTTATATTTCTTTACTCCGCCATATTCTTCACAAATATTAAAATAAATTATTCTGGCATGAACACTGATAGCTGGAGTAACGACCATTGATCACATTGAATGTTTAATAGATATATAAATACATACTTTTACAACTTGATTTTGAACTCATAACTTTTGACTAATTATTATTCTTTCAGGAAATAGATTATTTCGCGGAGACAACTTACAAGAAAGTTCAAGCAATGCAAAACGATTTCATTGTAATGAGCCAGGTTTCTTCGCCGACCCGTCAAACTGCCGAGGTTTTTATCGGTGTGTAGACCTCGGCTCTTCTTTGTCAGCGGTACATTTTGATTGTGGTCCTGGTACAGTTTTTGAAGAGACCTTGTCCACGTGTGTGCATCCTTCAGACTCAACGAGACCCAATTGCAAAGGTAAAAACCATCTTATGATGAGCAAGTTACTATTTAACTAGGTGGGTACGTATAATTTTGTGTTTTTGATCTGTAGCTAGTTCGCCTCAGACTGGAAACAACGTTGTACAACCGGATAAGCCATGGTCCCAAACACCTCCTGAAAATCCATGGCAAGAGGGAGGGCAGCTTCAAAATTATCCTGACGGACAGGACGGTTCCTCGTCTAATGGGCAAAATGAACCTTGGCCAGCTGGGTCAAATGTTCCCCATGGACCAAATGGAGTTTGGCCGAACGAGCAAGGCGGTCCTAATGAATCAGCTAATTCTGATAATCCGAATTTCCCTAATGGTTCAAACGGCCCTTATAGGCCGGAAAATCCTTCTGTGCCTAATTCGCCAAACGTTCCCTCCCCGGTCGGCGACAACGAATATCCGAGTTCGCCAAATGAACTTATGTTAGGCAATGGAAACTGTGAAAATGATGGATTTTTTGGCGTTCGACAAGCATGTAAAGAGTTTTACAGATGCGTACAAGATGGAAAAGGCGGTTTTGTTAAATATGAGTTTAAGTGTAGTTCTGGTACAGTTTGGGATCCTCAGAGTGAGACTTGTAACTACCCGTGGGCTGTAAGCAGAACTGACTGTAAACAAGAAACTAGCAATCAAGTTAATGAACAGCCAGAGAAGCAACCTCCTCCAGGACAACAGCCTCAATATCCAATTAGTCCAGAACAGAACAACCAATATCCCGGATCTCAGTCTCAGTATCCCAATGGATATCCAAATCAGCCATCCCCGGGACAACAACCTCAATACCCTAGTAGTCCAGAACAGAACAACCAATATCCTGGATCTCAGCCCCAGTATCCCAATGGTTATCCAAATCAACCATCCCCGGGACAACAACCTCAATATCCTAGCAGACCAGAACAGATCAATCAATATCCCGGATCTCAGCCCCAGTATCCCAATGGTTATCCAAGTCAGCCATCCCCGGGACAACAACCTCAATATCCAAGTAGCCCAGAACAGAACAACCAATATCCCGGATCTCAGTCTCAGTATCCTAACGGACCTCCATCAGAACAGCAAACCGTCTCGGGAGGACAACCTTCACAGCAACCTGGTGAGCATCCCTCAAACAGTTTAGAAACAAACCCATTGGGATCAGGACAGTGCAACAATGATGGGTTTTATGGAGTACAAGGAAACTGTAAGACTTTTTATCGTTGCGTGAAAGAAGATAAAGGAAGTTATAAAAAATTTGAATTTAGCTGTGGCTCAGGAACAGTGTGGGATCCCAACACAGAATCTTGCAATCATCCATGGGCCGCAAATCGAAAAGATTGCTTAGACACACAAGAAACTGGGCAAAATACGCAAACATCTGGAACATCAAACAAGCCACAAAATCCAGAAAATGCTTATCAACCTAATCAGCCTAATCAGCCACAGTATCCCCAAACAGATCAACAAAATAGGCCTAGCCAACAGGAACATCAACCTAACCAACCTAACCAGCCTAACCAGACACCAGATGGACAACTTCAGCCACCACCATATGAAAGTGGAAGTCCAGAAAATGAACAAGATAGTTTAGATGAAAGTTCTGACGTGAAATGCGCTTCCGAAGGATTCCACCCTGTCCCTGGCAATTGTAAACTGTTTGTTCGATGTGTGAACAAAGGCGATGGTACATTTACAAAGTTCCAGTTTAGATGTGGAGAAGGAACAGCATGGGATACTCTTGCAGAAACGTGTAATCACGAGTATTTAGTACATAGAGAAGACTGTGGAATGACTACCACTCCTTCAAGTATACCAGTACAGTCTGATACCACGGTCCCATTGAGTGATACTACTGTTACTCAAACTTGGTCCAATAGTTCCAGTTCTTCCAGCAGTCAGTCTTCTAGTTCGTCGGCTTCATGGGCAAGTACAGTATCGACTGGTCCAACGACAACAACACAAGGAGGAAATCAAGTTAGTTCACAATCTTCAAGCAACCAACAGAGTTCTTCTTCAGGTGGATCAACTCTTACTACAACCAGTGGTCAACAACAGTCATCTGCTGGGAGTTCCCAAGGCTCCAGCCAAATGACCACATCTTCGGGGTCCAACCAACAAACTACATCATCAGGTACAAATCAGATGACAACTTCATCTGGCACTTCTCAACAGCAAGGCAGTAATCAAATGACCACATCTTCAGGGACCAACCAACAGACTTCATCATCTGGTACAAATCAGATGACAACTTCATCTGGCACTTCTCAACAACAAGGCAGTAATCAAATGACTACATCTTCAGGGACCAACCAGCAGACTACATCATCAGGTACTTCTCAGCAACAAGGCAGCAGTCAAATGTCCACATCTTCAGGAACCAACCAACAGACAACATCTGGAACAAATCAGATGACAACTTCAGCTGGTGCTTCTCAACAACAAGGCAGTAATCAAATGACCACATCTTCAGGAACCAACCAACAGACGACCTCTGGATCAAATCAGATGACAACTTCATCTGGTTCTTCTCAACAACAAGGTGGTAATGAAATGTCCACCTCCTCAGGGTCTCAACAAACAACCTCTTCTAGCACATCACCAATGCCTTCTGGAACAGCAGATTGTCCATCAGAAGGGTTTTATCCAAACCCTAATGATTGTAACAAATTTTTCAGATGCGTCAATGTCAATGGTAAATTAAGTAGAGTAGACTTTAGCTGCGGACCAGGTACAGTGTGGGATCCAACAAATAGAGTTTGTAACCATCCTTGGGCAGTTCCAGGATGTGGTAAAACAAGCCAAGAGCCAACATATGCAGAATCCACATCTTTACCCCCAGGGCAGCAGCATCAAAGCCAAGTATCTACACCCAGACCTACTTACCTGCCTCCAGGTGAACAAGGACAACAAACCAGCAAGCCAACAAATAACCAATCTCCTACCGGTCAACAGCAGTGTTCCAGTGAAGGATTTTTCCCAAAACAAGGCGATTGCTCTAAATTTGTTCGTTGTGTGAGTACAGGATCAAGTTTTAAAATGTACGAATTCAGCTGTGGTCCAGGAACTGTGTGGGATCCTGAAAACAATGTCTGCAATCATCCTTGGGCTGTTAAGAACTGTGGTAATCTGGGTTCCAATGAAATGCCACAACAGCAAAACCCCAATACACCAACTCAATTTCCTCCTCAATCACCATCAACACAATATCCACCAAATCAATTTCCACCAACTCAATCTCCTCAGACTCAATCCCCACAGACCCAATCTCCTCAGACTCAATCCCCACAGACTCAGTCCCCACAGACTCAATCCCCACCAACCCAATCTCCTCCAACATCTGAACAATTACCAACTACAAGTCAAGTGTCACAAAAGCCAACACAGCATCCCCAAGAGTCAGGTCAACCTGCAAGTCAACAACCAGGAAAACCAGAACAAGTTGGAAATGCTTCACAACCATGTGAAAACCAAAAAACTGAAAAATTCACTTGCACTTCTTCAGGGTTTTTTCCAGATGAAAAAGACTGTAAAAAGTTTTATAGATGTGTTGATTGGGATGGTGACAAAGGACAGCGATTCTCATTATACGAATTTAAATGTGCAGAAGGGACAATTTTTGATCCATCATTAAACGTGTGTAACTATGAGGATAGTGTTCAACCTCCAAGAGATTGCAAGACTGAATCTTGTTCCACTTCTACTAAAAAACCAGAAAGTCAAGGTACAGAAAGCACTACACCACAATCTGAATCTACAAATGAAATGACCACACCAGCAAGTGAAACTTCTCACACTAATAGTCAAACCACACAAGGGGAAATGGAATCAACATCCCACACAGTTGCTCCAACAACTCAGCCAGATGCCCAAACAACCCCAACTCAAAGTCAAACAACTCAAACTGGTAGCCAAACTACTCAAACTGGTAGCCAGACTACTACAACCGACAGCCAGACTACTCAAACTGGAAGTCAGACTACTACAACCGACAGCCAGACTACTACAACTGATAGCCAAACTAATCCAACTGATAGCCAGACTACTCAAACTGGTAGCCAGACTACTATAACAGATAATCAGACTACTCCAACCGACAGCCAGACTACTCCCACTGGTAGCCAGACTACTGAAACTGGTAGCCAGACTACCACAACCGATAGCCAGACCTCTCAAACTGGTAGCCAGACTACTACAACAGATAATCAGACTACTCCAACTGACAGTCAGACTACTCCCACTGGTAGCCAGACTACCACAACCGATAGCCAGATCTCTCAAACTGGTAGCCAAACTACTCAAACTGGAAGCCAGACGACTACAACAGATAGTCAGACTACTCCAACTGACAGTCAGACTACTCCCACTGGTAGCCAGACTACCGAAACTGGTAGCCAGACTACCACAACCGATAGCCAGACCTCTCAAACTGGTAGCCAAACTACTCAAACTGGAAGCCAGACTACTACAACTGATAGTCAGACAACTACAGGCCTTACTAATACTCAACCTGGATCAACCCAGTCATCCACTGAAACAAATCCTGACACTTCCACAGAAGTAAGCATGACTAGTACTGTGCCAATGGAAGGCACCCAAGGAACCACGATGCCAATGCCATCCAAGCCTAGTCGAGCGTGCCAAGAATTAGAAAATGACCAATATAACTTAGTTTGCCCAACTGGATTCAAACGGCATCCAAAAAATTGTAACCAGTTTTACCAGTGTACAATGACACAGAACAATGCTCAACTTCTAGTCCTTTCCTGCCCTAATGGAACGATTTACGATGAAACAGAAGTCAAGTGCGTTCAACCAAGTAAGTTATTTTCTAAAATACTTAAATAATTTATATCAACACTGAAAACAATACCTTGCCTTTTTGTGTTCCTTTATTATTAAATTAATTACAGGCCCTTATTAGTTTCCAGAATTTTTTAGATTCATTACATTAATGAACAGCATAGATGCTGATAAATTTTCTATTTAGTTCAAAAACTCAAAACTTAAATTGATGTGTTGTGGTTTTTTTGATTAGTGGTTAAGTCAAATTCTTGACAGAAGTTGTCTTTATTTTTTAAGGTCAAGGTGAAAAATGTAATGTAGAAGCAGTGCCAACAAGCAGACAAAGAAGATACGTCGATGGGTTGCCTCCTCCGGTAAGTGTACACAAAACACGTGATAATTTCAACATTGTGAATCTTTCCCAAATATTGCAATTGTTCGCTAACTTTGAAAAAATTTATAACAAGTAATTAGATAGTGTCATATTTCTGATTTAGTCCTTCTTGTAAAATTGTCCGAAGACAAATAAAAGAAGGAAGGATTTGAGTATATTCCTCATCATAGATTTCTTCAAAGCAGAACATTTCACATTTTTGCATTAAAACAACTGTTTCATTTTTAGGTCCAGGTTCGCTCAACAAGAACGCTTTGTCCAGCCCAAGGTTCTTACCCGTTTGATGGTGACTGCCAAAGATTTTACAAGTGTTCTTACGATCGCAGAGGAAGAATGCAAGGTCTTTATTATTAATTACAAAAATACCATATCATTTTTATTTTACTTTTAAAAAATATATATTATTTTTATAGGCCAACTATATGAGTGCCCAGAGGGCTATCACTACTGGGATGTTTCCAGAAGATGTGAAAAAATTCATAGAATTCCAAAATGTCATAGAGGAAATGGTGATAAAGAGAGCCTGAATACAGCTCCTATTGAAGATAGGGAGATTGGGCGATGATGTACCTGAACTAAAAAAGCTTGACAATACCTGTAGATATTACTAAACCTTTATTAATACGAGGTTTAATTAAAAATGGGTTTTTTTTACTACATAAACCTTTCAACACCCTGTAAATATAATAATGTATTGTTGAATATTTTATGTATGTAATAGTGGTGGTGGAGAAAAGTGATCTATGGTTATTGTCAACGCTTTCTGTGAGAAAACTTTAACTGTTAGTACTGTGCTAGAAATTATTTATTTTTCTCTAAATTTAAAAATAATTAAGATAAGTGATCATAACACTATGTATCAAAACGATATAAAATTGTTTAATTTAAATAAAAATCAAAGTTTATATATAAATGTATGTGCCTATAAAGAGAAATGTCAATAAATTATTGCTCAAAAATATCAATTTTAATTTAAATGATCCCATTGCACTCATTTTCTCAAGTAAATCAAATATTTGATTCTATTTTATTAAACTCAAAAAGTAAATTGTCAGCTTGGTGAAGTCAGAAAAACTCCAATTTAGTTTAGGTGTATGCATGTGTAAATAGATCAAGTTTATAAAAAAAAATCATTGCTATACTGATTACTGATTTATATAAGCTCAAGTCTACACATTCCTGTACACACATACTCACGCAATTGAGCTTATCACTTCTCACACTCCACTGGCAATTGCAAGTTTGTCATATAAATTAATGACAGGCCTCAAGAATCACCTCCCCCAGGTGTTGGCAGTCCCAGAGTCATACCTCAGTCATATCTATTCAAGTGCCAAGGCTGGGCCCTTTCAACAGCTATGTTATTTCAGCCCCCAATGTCAGTTCCTACAACCAAACCTATTTACACTCTTGCTCATAAATACATTATTTCATATTTACATACCACTCACTAAGTTGGGGTTTTAGAGGTCTTGATCCATCACCTTATACACATACTATTATAACTAACCTAATTAAAGGTCGATGTGATACTTAATCCGCCATCAACCCTTCACATTATATATTCACGCTAATAAATACATTCACTCTCAACACATCCAAGGGACACAAAACCATTAGTATTATATACAATAAAACTACCCTGTTTCATTTGAGAATGGCAACAAGGGACCAAGACACTCACTGCTGTGCTCAAGCAGAACTCGGATGGCATACCTAAACGCTCTCTATATGGAACCGCAACTTCAATGCCAGAATCAATTAAGAAGTTAAGAACAATTGGTAGTGCATCGCTAAACGGGATGACATGGGGTGATCACTTGACACTTAGCCAGTGTTGGGTGGTGGTGTGGTCATTTGCCTGGCCAAAATGAGCATCTTGGAAAGTCTGATTAATTGACAGCACGAGCAGATCCTCAAAAACAGTACTGTTAAAGTTTTAAAAAGTGTTTGTTCACAGGAGGGCAGGGAATGTTTCCGGTTTTAGTAGCCCTCATCTTGTTTCCTTCGGATGAGTTATCTAGGTAAATATAGGTCTGTAAAAGGCTATGATAATCCTAGTTGATTTTTTGGTCTATTAGAAATAAAAATAAGAATAGTAAAAGATCTCTACAGGTTCATCACCAAACAACAAACTGAGAAAATACATAAATACATATACGTGTACCATAATGTAGCAATGTTTAATGAGTCATGTAATATGACTATAGTACTAGCTTTACTTGAACATCTGTTTAAATGTAGTTTAGTTTTCAAACAAATGTAGCATTTTATTTACTTAACAAAAAAAAATGAAAATCCCATTTCACGAACAGTTTGGAACTTTTTTCCGGGTAAGTACCATTGTCAGACTGGAAAATTTTCAAACAGACAAAAAACTTTTTTTTGTAGTCACAAAAAGGAAAAATTTATGCATTTTTTAAAATTAAACAACAAATAACTTAAAAGAGTGTGCAGAAAACTGAGAATACAATTGAAATTATCTTGATATTAAAAAATTAAAAAATGGTGGGCATTATGCAAACAAAATATTGAGAAAAATAAACAGATGTTTATTGTCACTATAATCCATGAAAAATGTAAGAAATGAATAACAGCATGTTCCAACCAAATAACTTTATTATTTATCAAAACGCACACACTTGAATTTACATTAGCGATATATTTTTTCCCGTAATTTTCATACGAGTCCTAAATACTGTCAAAATTAAATTTCAATGCCTCATCAAGCCATGCGTACTGTTAAGTAAATTCTGTTGTCACAATATGATGAAGGTGGATTGGCAACACTGCACGCCTTTGTTCATTTTTGAGTTAGTCTTTTCTTTGTCTATTGTCTATTGGATGTGTTCCTGGTGTGTGTCACCTGTTGTTGTATAACTGTGTCTTTGTAATAAAAAACGTTTAAAACTAAATAAAAATCTTATCACGTACCTTCAGCGTTTTGGAACCACGCTGGACTAACTACCATACCCCATCGAGACATACCCTGCGCACTGAGTGTGGGTGTCAGGATGTCTCTTCCCGTTTCTTCGGACAAGAATCCTCCACATTCAGTACTGATCTGAGAAGGAATCTATCCTTCCTTTAAGCCATAAATACACTTGACTCTCACTCGTTCACCCCTCATTATTAATCACAATTGGCCAAAACGCGCTCTGATGTACACACTTACGAGTGCCTTTCTTTCGCAGTATATCTATTTTTCACGACAACTCAAAGCAGTCGAAGACCAATGATTGTGGTATGGTATGGTGGAAAGGGTACTAGGAAGCGGGGTTTTTTATTCCCCAGGCACTGCAGCCTTCTGGCTTATTGTGCCTTCCTAGTTCCTTAGTTCAGTCAATAGACTCAATCCTTCTTCTTAGAAGGTCATTGACTGTTGTTGCTGCAATTTGATTCCCTAAGTCTTTTCCGTACATTAGGTTAAACATCCATTGAGCTGTTGCTTCACATTAGAAGATGATATGAGTGGCTGTTTCCTCCTCATTACATAATCTGCAGATGGGATTATCGCTGTATATACCCATGTTGTGTAGATGTTTTCTCAGATACCAGTGACCGGTTAGTAGTCCCACCACTCCTCTGCGTTTTGCCCTCTCCAATTGCATCAATGTTTTTACCAATCTGGGTGAGGGTTGTTTCATCATAAGTTTACTATGTCTAGCACCGCTAGAGTTTATCCACTTCTCTTTTTATTTTGCTTGGATCCATTCTGCAATGGAGGATTCTATGTTTGTTTTTGTTATCCCAAGGATAGGTTCAGGGCCTATGTACGGTCTTGCAGATCCTCTGGCCAGTTTGTCTGCTTCCTCATTACCCAAGATTCCCCTGTGCCCTGGCACCCAAGATATCATCAGTTGTTGTGTTTTCCCAGGTTTTGGAGATTTTGGATGCATTCACTGACAAAATGTGGAATGCTTCTCGATTTTGCCGAAGCAAGTACCCCTCATTACTAATCACAACTGGCCAAAATGCGCTCCGATGCACACACTTACACACATTAGCCTCTCTTTCGCTGTATGTCTATTTTTCGCAACTCAAAGCAGTCAAAGACCAATGATTGTGACACACGCTTCTACAAGTCCCAATGGCATTCGTCTCAGCTCTCACGAAAGGCGGTTCTTCCTGCCCAGAAGACCACTTTCTTTTGTCATGATCGCAAAACCAACTTATAGTAGAACCACCTATGATTGTCTTGGCCTTTCTGTTACTATACCTAAGCCATATACAGCTTTTTACAGTTTTGTGGCTGATAATTTTATTCTTTGCTTTTTTCTTTGAGACAGAAGCTTTTTGCTTTTTTAATTTTGAAATCATCATTATTAAATAACATCATTAAATTTTCTTCTCTTTGTCAAGTCTGAATACTTTTATTCAAGCCATTATACCTTGTCATGGTAGAACTCTGTAGGGTGATAGACCCAGCAGTGCGCAATATAGCTGTATGATACAAAGAGCCCTCTCGATAGATAATAGGATAGACTTCACTTATTTCGGGACTTTGCCTCTTCGTCAAGCCATGAATAACTTTATTCAAGTCGTTATACCCAGTCATAGTAGTATGAAAAAGGTGATAGACCCAGCGGTGGGCAATATAGCTGTATGATACAAAGAGCCCTCTCGATAGATAATAGGATAGACTTCACTTATTTTGGCACTTTGTCTCTTCGTCAAGCCATGGATACCTTTTTCATGCCATTTATACATTTTATCAAGACATGGATACACAGGGTGGTCCACAACATCTGTGTTGTATTGACTTATAAAACCAAAATTAAATTTAACAAAATATTAATCATTTTTTCTACTTATTAAAAAATGCATTCACTAAAAAAAATGCTTTAATTGATGTGTACTGATTATTCGATTCAATTGTTTTTTGTTTTTTTAATCCTAAATATTGCAAATATTTATTGGCTTTTGTATTATATTTTTCGTTATCACACTCTCCAAGAAAAACACATTTCATTTCCTATGTGAAATATTTTGATTTTTTTCTTTTTACAGACTTACAATAAAGATTTATGCATGATTTGTTCTCCTTGCCTATTTGGATCAATGGAATATGTGCTTACTTTAAGTATTATTGGCACGGTGAGTTATGGTAATTTTAATGTAGTTAACTTTTCTCTTATGCATTTGCAATTACATACAGTTTTATTTATACTGAACAATACACTGGGGTTCTGGGGGCGGTCGGCTCAGTTGCTGCCATGAGTGTAGGGAGGTCAGGCTTCTAGAGCACATTTAGCTCCAGGGGTCTTGGAGATTTGGACTTTTCCATGATTGTCTTGAAACAAATGCTTTTTGTTTACACCTCCGAAAAGAACTACATAACGGAAAAATCAAATAATAATGTTAAAGGAAATAAATTGGTAAGTCTGCCCTCTCTCCCCGCTTGTTGGTTTCAGCCAGGTCGGTGGCCCCTGGATGCCACTGTTGTCCTCTGTGTCTATTTCCATGGCTAATGTGGAAACACAAGGTCAAAAAAATAAATAAAAACAATTTTAAAATGAACTGAATATTCCTTCCAGAAACATTTTGAGTAAAAAAAGACAAAGTGTAAATTTATCATTGGCTCTCTCCATGGCATAATGTCAATAAAATATATTTTAAATCCAAAATGGTTATGTTCGAAAGTATTTGTAAAACATCACTTTGTTATGGAGCCCAGACATGCTAGAGTTGTTCCCAGTTTTTGTATATACCTTAAAACTACATATAAAATATTTGCGTAAATGTCTCATTCTGCCATCAAAACGGTACCCCAATTACTTTGTAAATCAAATTAAGCTTAAAAATGTGTATTGGTTTGAAGTATATACAAATTCAATAATTTCGTGGTCCGCTTGACCAATTAATATATTACAATTAAGGTTTTTAGTTGAGATAAAAAAGTCAATGGCACAAGCGGGATTCGAACCCACGATCTTCGGCTAGACACGCCGCTACTCGACCACTTGAGCTATCGTGACCTCGATCCACTCGGGCACTAACTTCCCATCTCAACCCCACCTTTTGAGTTTTCCCTTCTTTTTGCCATTTTTCAAATGTCATGTAATCGGATTTGTATATAAAAAGTTGGAAACGGAATATGGAATAACTGTAACAGAGTTGATAAGCACAGATTGTAAAGTAGAAAAAATCCTTTAGAAGGTGTGGCTAACCTTAAAAAACAAGTATATACAGAAAAATGGCAAAAAGGAGGGAAAACTCATAAGGTGGGGTTGAGATAGGAAGTTGATGTCCGAGTGGATCGAGGTCACGATAGCTCAAGTGGTAGAGCAGCGGCGTATCTAGCCGAAAATCGTGGGTTCGAATCCCGTTCGTGCCATTAACTTTTTTTCATCTCAACTAAAAACCTTAATTAATTATATACAGAAAGTTGACTTATGTAGTTTATATAGGCAACTGAATTCTGTAAATAAATATATAAATTGTGTCTTAAGAACTGATCAAATTAGTTGGATTTTTAAAGCTAGATGTGAGTTAATCCATCTAAATAAATACTCATTCAAAGTGATATCAAACCTATGCTTGCTCTATAATAGAAAAGAAGAGTAAACTATTTTTCACTTTGTGGGTGTATGCCCAATCTTGGCAGAAATCAAAAAATCGGTTTTTGCGAAGTGTAATCTTTCGAATGAAGAAGTTATAGAAATTCTTAATGGAAAATGTTGGGACTTGTTATGTCATTATTGTAAAAGAGCATGGCTCTATAGATATGATTTAATTTTTCAAGTTTAATTTCGTTTAAAATTCGTAAAATTCCAATAAAACAGATGGATTGGCGATAAACACTTTATAATGATACAAATGTACTTGGTACTATATAATTATGTATTCCAATCACTAATTATTTATTCAAACTAATAAGTATGTATAAAAAAAAAATTGCAACTCCTCCGACAGTCACAGTACCATGGAGTAATGTCTTATGATAAGAATAAAATGTACATATTATCATATTCATTATTTTGTTAATAAAGACTTTATTATTATTATTATAAATGAACTAAATAAAAACAATGCCACACAATACTAAGTATTTTCATTATATATACTTGTTTTTAATAACAAGAGTCTACTTATTTTACTAGTATTATTAATATTTAAAATACATTGATGGTTATGATGTTAGAGAATCTACTAAAAAGTGAATTATAAATTATCATTATATTTTCAGTTTTTTAATTACAGCTTACCACACTATGGGATTGTGTATGTTTGACTAATTGTGGTCAAATTTATTCACACTTGAAACCAATTGAACCTAATTGTAAGTCAACTACTTTGAATACTTTCTACACAAAAAAAAATCTATCTGTTAAAAATTCAACTATCGAACTATAAATATATTGTTTCAGTCTGTCCAGTTATAAAAAAATATTTTCGATTTTTAACATGTGGACTTTACTTGGCGATATATTCATCGCTCGCGATTGGAATAAAAATTGTCGGTACCTGATAAACTTTAATAGGGTTTAATAACGATTTGAAGAAATTTTTAAATAATTTCAGGAACATCCAGTTCTCCTTTTGCCATACATCCTTCTACAAATGGTGAATATAACGCTTTTAATATTGGTCGCATTTTTATCCATTCCGAAATCGACTAAACTTACGAGGAAAACTCTCATTTATTGTGGTAAGTTTTTACATCTAATTAAAATGTTGAAATTTCAAAACCATATTTTTCCATTATAATTACTGCAAAATGATTTAGTAGAGAGTCAAAATGGTTTCAAATTCCTAATTTAAAAAAAAATCAATTTTGCATTTCTAGTATAATGAATAATATATTTTATTGCATAATTAATTTTTTAGGGTTTTCCGCTTTCAATTTTCTCCAGTGTTTTTGCAGCTTTCGTCACATGCTTCAGTCAAGGGATTTTTAAATACAAACTTGATTTTCTTTAGAATGACTAGTAGGTAAAAGTAGGTTTATATAAAATTTAAGCCAAAAGGATTTGAAGATAATCACAACTAGTATATTTTATCATGCTGATCTCATTTCACATTGAAATGAAATTGTAGCGATACAAAATAAAAAGAGATATAAAGAAAGGAATAGAAACTGCCTGATTAGTGTTCACTTCATTATGTCGCTCCAGCCTTTAGTTTATACTGTAAAAAATTGGACAACGCCGCAGAGCAAACAGCAGAAAGGTGCGTTTGGCAGTTCACTTGCCTGAAATTTTTTTACATCAATTAAACAATTTTCAATTAATACTATCATAAAATTATTATTATACAAGTGTTTTTGTTTTTCTCTCATGGCGAAGCAACCTCTGGATGTTTGCAAGGAAAGAATCATTCGAAGCGTGCTGTCTGTCAGAAATTCTCGGTACTGATTCAGTCCACATACAGCCACTATAAAAAAAAAAAAAATTCTAGTGATAGTTCATCTTAATTAGCAATTAAATATTATTTAAATATTTATTTTAAGTAGCAATATTAAAGTGATTTTTGTCTGCAGTTGAATTACGCATACTTCTAACATTTTATGTGTTTTCCAGTAAATTGTTGCTCTATTCGAAGTAGAAAAAAGTAGAAAAGTCAACTTTAAAATAACAATTGTAATTTTTGTAAGAAGTTAATATTTTTTTATACCCTGTTCAACAAACAAATCTTGAAGTTTGAGGGGAAAACCATTTTTCATTATTTGTCTGTTTTCCGTCAAAATCCTTTCACATAAACTGTGAACTATTTCTCTTGAACTCTGAATTTCTTTTTCATCCAACTGAAAAATATGAACAATTTTAGAATTAGAAATATACAGGAGAGTAATATAAATGACAATGGGTATAAAACAAAAAACTACTGGCAATAAAAAATTACAAACAACCTTTCACCACCATCAAATCAATCATAAAGTTTCTCTCTATATAAAAGAAGTGTAAAAGTTTTACGAATAAATTAAAAATACCTTATATGCTTACGTAAGACTTGAGGGTAAAGTAGATTGCTTGATGAATAAGAGTATAACCTTTAGCATTTGGATCTTTTTCTATAGTTTCACATTCAGTCTTAAATTCACCATCTATCAGCATCCCGAGGAGACACATGTCAGAGTCACTACGAGAGGGAGAGCCATATTCTAAGTACTCGTTCACAGAATAATCTATGGCAGATGTTTTTAACAAGTGGTTTTCTGTATCTTTCCCTTCAGATAGTTTATCCATGAAAAATGAAGCTAGAAAAAAAAAGGTTTGGAAGATTACGATACTTTTTGTACAAACAGTTTGTTTAACGCGTAACAATTTCTTTCACAATCGACTGATATTTTTAATTCAATAATTTTCTTCGAGGTGGTTCAAATTTTTAATGTTTTATTGAACCGAAATGCATCTGACAGGCCGATCCGCACTTAACACATCAACAAAAGATGTTTTAAATTTTTCAAACAACTGCATTCTTCTTAACACAATCAAATCTGATAAAAGACCCGTATCAGGTACATAAATTTATTAAACGTAGCTATGTATGTATGTATCGAGACATGGATGTAAATTTCTCTTATGAACACAGATTAGTCAAGTTCTCAAGTAACACCTTGTTTATTGTATTTCTTATATAATCTCATAAGCACATGACTGAAAATATGTACAAAAAAAGGCATACACAAATATGTCAATTCTATACAACGTATGCGTAGAATGTAAAGAAATATTTCCTTTTTACTTTGCACAAAACTGTATTTTTCAGGTTACTTATGAAGAAAAAAATTAAAGTTATTAGTAATTTTAGACTGTGATAGTCCGCAAATATATTTTAAATATTTTTTTTTTATGCAATAATATTATAATATATATACTGGGTGACCCAGTTCCTTCTCACGAAACTCAGGGAATCGATTCTATTCTTCGTTTGGAGCAAAAAATTCTCAGGAGAAAATTTTCGGAAAGTTCTCTATTTTGAAGTTATTCGTCAATTTAGGTTTTTTCAACTTTTCACTACCTTACCACATAAAAACGCTTACAACTTCCAAAATGTTGAGACTGCAACAAATCCAATTACATCATTTGAAAGAACGCTAAATTTGCTGTAAGATACTTCTTTGCAATAATCTGAATGACATAAAATGTTAGCCAATATTAGTTGAAACATGTCAAAATTACAAAATTTAAAATTTTGGTCATGATTGCTCGCTCTACTGAGGTTACAAAAAAATACCTACAACATGTCAAATTTTACAAAAACTTCATCTAATATGCTTTACGTTGATATATCCAGATTTTTAAATAACGTTCTAGTAGAGTTGAAAAATAACAATTGAATGTTCGAAAACGTGAACTAAGGTAAATTTGAAAGGGGGGGAGGTAGAAATTCGGATATGCATTCAAGAAGAGGGAAAACACTTTGAGCATTTCCTCTGAAAAGTTCCACCTTTGTTGTTAGGTGCTTGCTACAAGAAGAACCATTGCATTTTATTGTAGGAAGCTTTCTGGTATGGTTTTTGTGAGATTTTAGATCATTTTTATTTTACAAAGCGAGTTTTAATTGATTTATTTCTACCCCCTTCAAATTTATCTTAGCTCACGTTTTCGAACATTCAATTGTTATTTTTCAATCTACTAGAACGTTATTTAAAAACCTGGATATATCAATGTAAAGCATATTAGATGAAGAAGTTTTTGTAAAATTTGACAAGTTGTAGGTATTTTTTTGTAACCTCAGTAGAACGTGCAATCATGACCAAAATTTTAAATTTTGACATGTTCCAACTGATATTGGCTAGCATTTTATGTGATTCAGATTATTGCAAAGAAGTATCTTACAGCAAATTTAGCGTTCTTTCAAATGATGTAATCGGATTTGTTGAAGTCTCAACATTTTGGAAGTTGTATGCGTTTTTATGTGGTAAGATAGTGAAAAGTTGAAAAAACCTAAATTGACGAATATCTTCAAAATAGAGAACTTTCCGAAAATTTTCTCCTGGGCATTTTTTTCTCCAACGAAGAGTAGAATCATTTCCCTGAGTTTCGTCAGAAGGAACTGGGACACCCAGTATAGGAGAGGGCTCCCATAAAACAACGAAAAGTATGCTAAGTGAAGTATGTTTTTTTCCCCTCCATAGAGGCTTGCTTACACATATCTCTATAACTTCTAGAGGATCATCCACAAAACCCTGAAATTGGAGCCCTCGCAGAACTTCCTAGAATTTAACTGATTTAATCCGATATTGAAGAGTTTTTATTTTTTTAAGTAAAATCCTATTAAATCAAATTACTGTTTTGGTTATATCAACATGGGTAAATTTTTTTATTTTATTTAATTTTTTACGAGGGTTCGCAACAGCAGAGGTCATATAAATCCTCAGAGTGCCGGTGTTTTTGAAAAAAAAAAGCCCGTTTATAAGTATGTCGGGTTCGAATGCAGGGCCGCTGGATTCGAACCCGGGACCTTCACCTTACAGTGATGAGCGCCGTGTCAACGCCTAAACCGTTGCGGCCACCGTCGCATGGATTAATATTATTAAACCAACATTTAAACTCAACTATTTAATCATGATTGGTTACGTTATACGTGCTTGGAAGAACATTTTCAGTAAGTTAAATGAAATTATGGACAAATTGAAATCTAAACGACATAAAATTGTAAGTAATTTTTATTGAAATTTTTGGATAAATACGAGAAAAAGCGACTTCATCAGGTCCAAGGAATGTCGATCACCATGAAGAAATTACAAATCGATTCTAACGGGCCCTTTAGATTTGTAAGTGTACATAGCGTACATATTTTCCAGGTGAATTAATTTATTACCTCAAAAGTGTACAAAGGTGCGAATATATTATTTATTCACGTACGGAAGAAAAACACTGCCAGAGTATTTTTGAGCTTGCCTAAGGGGTTGTAAAGTTCGCGGGTGGAGGTTGTGGTCCACCATTGCACAACCTTCGTACATTTCAAAGGGAATGCGAAAAAGACAATTTGCAGAAATACCGTTTTATTGTTTTGTATCCTGTTTTACAATCAATTACTTTTTACAATTCCGACGTTATAGACCTATAGGCCATGAAGAAAATAGGGACGAGCAGTAAAAGCGGGATTATCTTTAACCAAAGCCGGTCTCGTAAACTGAGGAAATCTCGGCTTCAACAAAAGAGCAAAAAGAAACAAAAAAAGTATACGTAAATTACAAAACTGTTACAACGTTTACATATTGACTTTTTCAACATGCACATTTAATGTTTAAAAAAGTTTTAGCAAAATGGAAAATTGTTTATGCATTTTTTGTCGTCTAAAGTGCTTTCTATATTGAGAAGTTTCCTAAATAAAAAAAATCCATAATCGCGAATTTCGTCCAGGGAGATTCTGTACTTTTTAAAGTTTTAAGTTATTTTAACTTCCAGCTAAAAGAGTTCCTAGTTTACTTGCAAGAACTTTAATTTAACTTCTTTCGTGTAAATTTTTGTCGCTCCTCTTTGAACATTCCAAACAAGGATTTTATTCCATTATTAAATTTAATTTAAAACTATAAAGTTAAAAAAAAAATTATGGTCAAGACGGAGATTGGTTTTGTCCCTCGCCAGGGTCATTAGGGCGTTAGACACTATTTTTGTTATGTACCAGCGACAAAAATGAACGCCCAGAATAAACCTTTTTCCTTATATGAATAACTTTTGTCCAAATTGGCAAACTCTCCATTTCTGCGATGTACAGTCGAACTAATAAGGGCCGAAATGTTCTTCTCGCTACCAGAAGAGCTTGAATACAAAAATAAACATTTTTCCTTACGGAGAAGTTAATAATAATGGGGCTGGGGTTTTCTAATTTTAATTCTGTCAAATAAGATACACTCGCTACAGTTTAAATTGGGAAATGTATTCCCATCTGCCAATAAAAACAAACTGGGTGATCTCATTTCTTTCTAAACAAAAGTGCCTACCTGCCCGCTGATTTCTTTCTCTAATTTTCTACCAAATTACTAATAATCATAACTTAAAATAATCGTAATTTTACTATCGGGTTGTCCGGAAAATAATGCAGGATTTTAAGTTTTCATTAAAAAAAATCTATATAAAATATTCTGTTTACTTTTACAGGATTACTCATTTGTATGAATGTCAACACTTATTAATCCTCTTCCAAATGATATTGTTTGTTTACCTCTGTAGCNAATTATTTTGATTAAAGAACATTGCTTTAAAGTAACTAGTTTCTTTTTTTTTGTTTAATACCAAAATCCTGCATTATTTTCCGGACAACCCAATACTAAAGATTATTTTAAGTGTTTTTACTTCTCTTTCTTTCACGCGTATTTTCCAGCCTGCAGCTATCTGCTACTGACTCACAAATTTTATATGAAAATCTAAAATGTTAGTCTCTCGTTTTTTCCTCAGGTTGTCAACTACAGAATACACCCAAAATGTACAACACACAATACACCTCAACAAACAAAGTCTGAACACATTCAATCCTTCCGAGTACTCGATATTCCTTAAAGTGGTGTTAACCTTACTTTCACGCTAATAAATTAAATTCGTTCCAATAAATTAACATAAACACAAAAACAATATAAAAACCCTAGACTATTCAATATTCATCAGGACGTGGTCGGACCCATTAAAAATTTGCTAATTATTTAAGAAGACCGTATTATTTTTAACAAACGTGAATAAATTATTGCGCTTTTAATCGGTCCTGGTTGAGCTGAAATAATTACCGGTTGTAGAATAAATTGGTATACCGTGAATAGAATTCGTCATTTCGGTTGAACCAGATTCTTATATCAGCGAACAACAGAAACTGTATTGGCAAGGAAACGATTTTTGTCATGTAAGAAAGGAACCTGATTCAAACAATTGGAGAAAAATCATAAATTGACTGTTATTTTTAAACAATTTGAAAATATTCTGAATGATAATTCTCGTGATTGGTTCTGATTGGACCGAAATAATTAACGGCTGGCGAATTCGTGGCCGATGAATTGTCGGTCAGAATTGTCAAAAGAATTGGCATTGTATCATCAATCAAATTAGCCTTCAATTTCGAGTGAACGAACAAAAATTCAACCTATATGAGATTTTGTAAACGGATGAGAGGAAATTGTTAATAATAATTGAAGAAAACGAGACATTGACTTCTATTCTTGACGAATATAAAGTTAGTACGAAATAATTACAGATTGATAAATTAGTTACTCGGCTAGAATTGTTGATCAATTTAAAACGTAGATACCAATTTAGGGTTGTTAGAATGTTTCACACCACTTCTTTAATACAGTTTTTTGAATATTGCAACCGGTTTCGCATTATTACATTTTATGCATCTTCAAGCAGCTACAATGAGCATTAACATAATTATTTGTTCATATTTATTTGTAAATATCATTTAACATAATTATTTTTTCATGTTTATTGTGTATATTTTTCATTTAACATAATTATTTGTTCATGTTTATTGAGTAATTATCAATTAACATAATTAATTGTACATGTTTATTGTGCAAATATCATTTAACATAATTATTTGTTCATGTTTATTGTGTANTATATATATATATATTGATCATTGTGGCTGCCTGATGATGCTTATAAATTAATAAAGCTAAACCTGTTACAACATCGAAAAAACTATCAAAGAAGTAAGTGGTGTGAAATATCCTAACAATCTTAAATTGTACAACACAACCACAACGTCCCTATAACATTCTGATTAACGCACATATCAATACGGTCAAACGACAGACCCGTCATCATCAGTAAGACGGATTCATCCAAATTTATCCACCGCAACACAAACCCGCCGTCAAATCTGGAATGTAACAGAGATAAAGCAGACAGAGAAATATGTTCAAAAATGAATAAATAACTGTCATGAGCACATCCGCATGTAGATCAATCGACCAAGAGCTTTTTTTTGCACCTAAGCAAATATACAATGCAAAAAAAATGTCAAGGATATTTATAGTTAAACATGATGAAAATGATCGAGGATCATAGGGTAGCTTCTTTTCAAATGATCTGTACACACAATGAAGAGCACTCGTCGTAGATAAGAGGGTTCCATTAAACCGTAGCTCGCCCAATAAATTCCATGGCTGTATCACTGCCAAATGAGTTTTCGTTTCTTTTTTTGTTGTATTTTATTCGACGACACCGGTTGATGAAAGGGAAATAATAGCTACTAAAAATACTCACAGTTGCTTAAAACTCACAATCAGTTGTCCCAACTTAATCCATTTGTAGTCTACGGGCTATCATCGCAATTTTATTCTGTAATGACTTGACGACAAGGAAAAAACGGAATCGCAGGGGGCAGTTATGTAGAGATAATGGGTTGATGCAATAACACATTCCTCCTAAAGTTTAAGTCTTCATTAAGAGTTTCAAATTTGATAAATTTCATTGAAGACGAGTAGACGTTACACTTTACCTTTACAATTCTAGGAAAGCGACCGCAAAGGTGCCCATTATGCAAAGATAGAGTAACAGTCGAGCACCTTTTCAATTGTAGAAAGCTCGACGTTTATAGGCAATATTTTGGAATATCATCGGACCTTTGCGTAGTCTTGGGGCACGGCAGCGGGCACAAATCGCTGTACCGGTACCTCAGGGCTGTAGGGATCTTCAAATGTTTATAGTTTATGTGTGTTTGTGTTGTGTCTGAAGTGTTTGTGTCGTGTTTGTATCGTGTTTATGTTAATACATTAGGATGAATGTAATTTATTTGCGTGAAAGGAAGGGGTTATTTACCCCGCCCCGAGGAATATCGAGTACTCTTTAGGGAATGAATGTGACCAGACTTCTATGTTTGTGGCGATATATATACTATGTATTGTATGTTGTGTATCTATTCTTAAATTGACAACCTGAGGTACTAACAAGAGGCTAGCTTTTTAAAATAACGACGTAATATACAAGTAAAAGCAGAGAGTCAGTAACCAGATCGAGATGCTCAAATGGCTGCAGTTCAATACAAAATACGCGAGAAAGACAGGAAAAAGAAGGAATAAACGCGGAGGGCCGGCGATGACCTCAGCTGTTTGTCGGCCCATAAACCTTCCACTTTATATATAGACGTAGTTTAATCCAATTATAAAGTGTTTATAAAATTAAAGCATTAAACGAACCTTCAACATTTTTCATCTTGAGCATAACCTTTAAGTTATCCTCAATAAATGGATAGAATGGGACCACAGCTTCCAAAAGCACTACCTCAATGAACCTTAGTGCAGCCGAAGATCACCCTTACATTAAGGACCGTTTGGAGTTGATCACCTTTCACGAAAGTCGGTACGATCGGCTCTGGTCGTCGTACATCGCGGTCGATCATTATCTTCTTTTCCATCGCCAAACCACAGTAGACCATTGTGTATGGTAGCGCGCCGCACACCCACGACTTAGTGCAGCCGAAGATCCGTTCTGTATAGATAATCAGTTGATTCCACCCCGTATAAATGACTAATGATTCACGCATGGCTCTTGTAGCAAAGCGTCTCTACGACTTCACGATCCATGTCATCTGATTATCACAAACCAAACGGCATTCATCTGTGACCCCGATCAAGTGTCCAACATTTCAAATAGTCGCCTATCTACTCGATGCCTCTCCAGTAGTAGAAAATTTGATGCAGAACGTCTAGAGACTTCTGATGACTGTTTTCGTGCTCACCCTTACATTACGAACCGTTTGGAGACTACCAAGTTAAATAACCGTCCCACAGTGCGGTAAGAGCTATAATATGATCGTCCCTAGTCGTCGTACATCCCGGTCGGCCATACCTTCTTTTCGATCGAGACTTCCGGTTGCCCTAAACTGCTAGACCATCGCGAATGGTAGAGCGCGGCACATCGATGACCTGGGCTATGTAAAAGACGCGAGAACTTCTCGACTTAAAACCCTGCTCTTAAGAAAATGTGTTTACTCAAATTTATTGTCAAAGAAAACAATTTAAAAACTCACTCGACAAGTTCGCTCGGGAAAGGATGAAATGGAACTGATTTTCGTTATTTTTAAAATAAAGGGTGTAAAAGAATTAGTAGCACTCTATAAAAGTAAACAACAAGTTATTAATATTTTGTTTACGTTTTAAGTCAACCATTAATCTTTATACTTAGCTGTTAAGAAAAATAAACAAATAAATAAGTGTCCGGTTTTTTGACTCTGAGTGTATAAATGTACCATTTAGTTCTAATTAGAAAATATTCTGGTTAGAAGATTGCTCCTTCCCTACACATTTTTAATGAAATTGTTTGAATTTAGGAAAACAGTTTAGTTTTGTATATTTTTATTTACCATATTTCGTGACAGACCAGTCGAATGGGTGTTTTTCCAAAAGTTTATCACACAATTCCAAGATTGACACGATTTGGCTTTTAATCTCTTCGTCATCGTAGGTTTTTAAAGCACCAATTTCACCTGGAACAAAGATCGAAAAATACTTATTGAACATTAACGTTTATCTTACAATTAATTAAGGTTTTCAGTTGAGATAAAAAAGTCAATAGCACGAGCGGGATTCGAACCCATGATCTTCGGCTTGATACGCCGCTGCTCTACCACTTGAGCTATCGTGACCTCGATCCACTCGGACACCAACCTCCCAGCTCAACCACACCTTTTGAATTTTCCCTCCTTTTTGCCATTTTTCAAATGTCGTGTAATCGGATTGGATTCTCGGCGGAAAAATGGCAAAAAAGGAGGGAAAATTCAAAAGGTGTGGTTGAGATGGAAGGTTGGTGTCCGAGTGGGTCGAGGTCACGATAGCTCAAGTGGTTGAGCAGCGGCGTATCAAGCCGAAGATCGTGGGTTCGAATCCCGCTCGTGCCATTGACTTTTTATCTCAACTGAAAATTTTAATTAATTTAAGATATTAATTGGTCAAGCGGACCACGAAACTAGTGAAATTAATGTTTATTTAATCCATTAGGTTTCGTGGTCCGATTGACCAAATAAATTCTTTTCAATTAAATAATCTTTAAGTAAAGTACTGGTTGAGATAAAAAAGTCAGTGTCACGAGCGAGATTCGAACTCACGACCGTCGGCTAAATACGCCGCTACTCTTGCCTACCAACTTCCCTTCTCAGCCCCACCTTTTAAATTTTCCCTCCTTTTTGGCATTTTTCAAGTTCATTGGGAAGTTGGTGTCCGAGTGGATCGAAGTCAGGATAGATCAATGGTAGAGCAGCGGCGTATTTAGCCTAAGGTCGTGGGTTCGAATCCCGCTCGTGACACTGACTTTTTTATCTCAACCAATATCTTATTTAAAGATTAATTAATTAATGTTTATTATAGAAGCGTCTATCGATATAATTATTTAGTGTAGTTCTATGATAAACTCTATAAACCTAACCCTATCCTCGGTCCAAATTGCGTTTTCTTTACTCACTGATAGGAATATCTAAAGCTCAATTAAAAAAAAATGAGGATTTCAATTTTTTACTCTTAACTGTTAAGCGACTAGAAATGCCAAATAACAACTATCAAGAAATTACAACCTGGTAAATAAATTAAGGTTCAAACGAGGCCAAACGCCCGACGCGTTTTTTAAGCCTGGGTAAAGAATTGCGGCCAATGCCTTAGATTTAGTTCATTAGAGTAAATTAATCGTCGTTGTCTCTTCACAAAGGAAAGTTAGAAAATAATTAAGAGGCTTAATCTTCATTTGCAACGACGCGCATTTATCGGTCAGCATTTTTGTTTCTTCTGTTTATCATTCGCACAATTTTAATTTTCAATTATTGTTGCAATTTGAAAACAAGATAAGTTTTAGGGTAGTAGGTGTTGAGCTGATTTGTTCAACTTTATATCGAATTTGTTTATCCAGTTTTTAAGTGTTGTACAAATTGCCAACTACAGCCTATTTTTTCTTAAAGGAGACGTCTGAAAAATAGTTTAAGCTGATCTGTTTATAACTTTCATTTCTGTCTTCTGACTCACTATATACACAATTTTTCCTTTTGAAACTGTTAATTGTATATGAAGTACAACGCTTCTAGAAAAGTTGTACAATTATTAAAATTATGTTTTAAATCCAATCGCGTATAAATTTAAAGATTTATACAGTTGAACTCATATCGATAAATAAATATGTCAGTATTAAAATTAGGTTTTAGGTAATGACAAGGAATTAAATGTGCCGTCCTCATCAATGAAAACATGTTAAGAAAAAGGTTTGATTTTTTGATATTGCTGCGTAGGCGTAGTTCGGATTGAATTCCAAGAACGTTGTTGGACCATGTTGGCAGGGGTTCCACCTTTGTTTCCCTAATTAGTATGGACGTAGGCGATGGTGCCAAACTGAGTCCAGACATCTGTGAATGAACAATGCTTAAACACTTCCATTCTTCGCCTGTTTTCGGGCTGTCCGGGGCTATCGGGCAGGAGGTTGCTCGTTGAAGGAAGGATTGCGAACAAGTTGCGGATGGGAGTTTTAGGGCAAAAAGACGCCGAAACAATAAAAAGTGTCGTTGGCAATATTTTTATATCGAATAGACTTCTTCGATTTGGGTTAATCCGATACTTCTTTCAGGATCTTATATTGTTAAGATGGCTGCTTGGATGAAATATTCCCGAAGGGAGAAAATAATTAATTGTCCGGTCACTACAATTAAGACCACATGTCCGGGCTAATCATAATTTTTTTTCCCTACGAATACAGCAGTATGATTATTTACAAAGCCTAGTACAGACATGGGTCAGAATCCGTCTGCCGGAGGACGTTGTTAAGAGAAAAAGAAAAAATAATAATGAAGAGATAATAAAGTGATAAGGATTAAAGCGAGGTTATAACATAATTCGCTAAATGCTAGTACAAGCAAAAAATGTTAAACATAATCTTTTTTCAATTAATTAATTTTTATGTAAGGTATTGGTTGAGATAAAAAAGTCAGTGTCACGAGTGGGATTCGAACCCAGGACCTTCGGCTAAATACGCCGCTGCTCTACCACTTGAGCTATCGTGACTTCGATCCACTCGGACCCTAACTTCCCAACTCAACCCCACCTTTTGAATTTTCCCTCCTTTCTGTCATTTTGCAACAAATCAACTCTCAACTTGTGACTCAACACGGCAGACAAGAAGGACACATCTCAGAAAAACAAACACTTTGAGCCCTGAAGATGATCTCAATAAAGATCGAAACGTTGGCACGATAAAGAAAATGTTTTTCCGACCGCATCGCACGGCCTCCAAATTATAATCAAATAACGGTCACTAAACACCACACAAATCATTATAATTTTATAAGTGTAACTGTAATAAAAAATTGCTCTTAATTAAATAAAGTCCTGAGAAAGGCGTCAAATACAGCCGAAAATTCAGAAAATAAGTTGAGTTTTTTTTACGTTCATGACTTCATCACTGATATGCTAGCTTTATTATTTATCACTGAAGGCGATGGAGGACCCATGGATTAGCATTACTAAAAGGAAAAATTAGAATTAGAATCGTATAATCAGTCAGTCGACGATTTCACCCTATTAGATAGAATATAATAATTTACAGATATCTTGAGAGACAGAAACAAAAGTGGATGAAGTGATGAAATTTTTTCATTTTTCTCGTAGGCTGCAAAGCGGTAATATTTATTTTTATTTTGAAACGACACAAAAATGGTTAAAACCTCAGCCAATGTTTTCTATTGAAATGTGGGCTTTTTAGTGATCGGTTTTTTGATAATTTGTTGGAATCCTGAGGAGTATGAAATATTCGGTTTAAGTTTATATTTACATCTGTATTGTATTTTTCCTATCAACGTATGTTTTGCAATCCTTGAAGATGACCCCAATAAAGGACAAAACGTCGGCACAAAACAATGGAAAAAGTGTTTTTCTAAACTGCTTCATTCTTGACCTCACGGATCCAACAAATTGTTAACTATTGAAATGTGTGGATAGATAGGGGTTGTAATTATATGAAAAAGAAAAATGTCATAAATATAAACAATGTCAACTAAGATCAACCGACAGTTTGGCCTGATTTGAAGCTTTTTTTTTTTTTTTAATTTAAATAAAACACATTTGAAAATATAATTCAACTAAGTGTTCATTTAGTGAAAAACCCAGTACAGAAAATATTTGGCCATTTAAAAATCTTTTCAAATATAAAATTTGCATTGTGTACAAGCGCAGTGTCACATCACGGTGCTAATATAAACACCGAATATTGTTTTTATTTGTTAAATTGTAAAATATTACTGCTATTTAAAAGGTGCAGAGGCGATATTAATCAAAGACGAATTGACGCTTACCTATCACATCCACATTGGCAATGACCAACATTTTGTAATTGCGGATTTATGCTTCTTTTATTTAGTTTAAGCACACAAAAACATACAGGAACACACTAGTTTCCTCTCTCTCACTCTCTCTCTCTCTCTCTCTCTCTCTCTCTCTNATCTATCGATTCTTCTATCTATCTATCTATTTATATATCTATCTATCTATTCTTCTATCTACCTATCTATCTATTCTTCTATCTATCTATTTATCTATCTACATATCTATCTATTTATATATCATATATTCTTCTATCTACCTATATATATCTATCTATTCTTCTATCTATCTATTAGTATATCTATCTATTTATCTATCTAATCTATTTATGATGTATTCTTTCGTAAGGTTCTTGCTCGCTCTCTCTCTCTCTCTCTCTCTCTCTCTCTCTCTCTCTCTTTCTCTCTCTCTAACACACACACACACACACAATATCCTGTTATCACGATTGTATTTATCTGCTATAAAGAACCGAAAAGAATTGTTTTAACAAATGCCTACATCTTAAATAATAGTTGTATTATTTCGTGTAATATCTAGTTTGTTTGGAATTTATTATAGAGATATAATAAGACGTATAAAGAATGTAGATAATTTTCTTCGTTTAAGAGAAATAAGAAGTTAACATGTTCCCTATTTAATCGCACAGGACTGACTATTAATTGGAGGAAAATCGCTACAAAAGACTAATTGTAAGTTTAAAATAAGACAATTTCCCTGAGTGTTTCCGTACAAACGGCATCGGTGATTTGAAAGAGTAAAAGGAATGTTTCGCAAGTTAATTGGAATTAAGAATCGCCACCCCTGATGAAACAGACCGTAGGATACTCTCTATGAATAATTTAAGGGTTAATAAAATATTAAAACATTACATAACAATCGCCTATTCAAAGCCTACTAGGAAACTGAATAATGAAAAGCCTTGTGTAAATATTGAAACTTAGAATTAAAAAACTTTTTTCTAGAACTGAAGGAGGAGTCTTTTAACATCGTGGAGAAGAATTAAACCTTCATTAAAAGTTAAGTTACACTGGGAAATGAGATTGTTCTTCCATATAATTTTTTTTTTAACAATAGACGTCTTGATAAACAAAACCAGAGAACGCAATTTATTTAGAATAAAATAGACTTTATGTTATTCAGTAAATTTCTTTTAAAAAATTAATATTCTTGCTAAAAACGACTTGAATCTATGAAGATAACAAGGTTTATTCAATGTTAATTTTTAAATAATTAATTTCTAATTAGAAAATTTAACATATTGATGAAATATGTAAACTGACGTGATCCTGGGCAATTTATTCTGCGAATTTAGTTAAAACAAATCAAACAATAATAAAATTTTAATGTACTCTTGTTGTCAGGTAAAATGTGTAAATATGGGAATGAGTCAAAATTTATAAAATGTTTTAAAATTGATATTTGAGCAATATTTGTATATGTATAGTCCAAATTTAAATATTTTAAAATTTTCGTATAGTCCTGAACAAGTTGGTCTTGCAGGAATTTGTGACATGCAAGTTACCTTTTACAATGAGCACTCCAAAAATCAGATTGTGATCCACCGTATCGGGATGAGTGCTATAATAGTTAAGCATGGAATGCAAGGAGTCCAAAACATTGTAAACGTTTGACCTGGATGTGCGAAAAAATATAAAGAGAAGAGGTACAAGAAACAAACGTGAAGAGCGCATCTCTGAAACTGCCGGTTCGCTTTCCCCCTCTCGTCAGCCCTTTGTCGCGGATATAACCTTATAGATCTTCATCCACGGTGTTCGACCCTTTATTTAACCCTCCTCAGAGTCATTTCCAAAATTTACTTTCGGGATTACCATTCATCCCTACCTAATCTAATTTCACTGTCGAACTTCCTTTTTTTGGCGAAACAATGTACAGGCTAAATTTAGAAGGCAATTTGTCTTTCACACTCCGGAAAGGAAGAAACATTCCTGCAACGTTCAAAAAGATATCGATATAAGTATTCGTTTGATAATGTCCATGTTTAAACACATTTTTTAAATTAAATTTGCAAAAATTGAGTCGGTTTATTCCATACAGGCCTAAAATCCATCCCTATGCTGTATATTTCAATTATCTTTTATCGTCGGTTGAATGGATCCAAACAAACATAAATATTGGAAAACGGACGCACAAAAAGTAACATTAATCCTTCCCCCGGTGTTTAGTATATAAACCGAGCTACCCCGTTTGTCTCTGCTAATTATCATTGAATCAATTATGTTTATTTGTTCAATATCCATTAGTTTTCCCCTGTTGGCAAAACGGAACAAAATAAAATAAATTTGTTTATATTTAATTTAATAACGAAGGTAATATCAATCTGACTGTGATTATGTGAATCTGAATCTAAACTTTAATGTAATAGTCATGAAAAGAACTAACAAAAGTAATAAAGTTATAAAGTTGCTATTAACTTGATTCGGGTGAGTTAAGGGAGAAAAACCTTGGAAAACTGACGAAATAAAAGTTACAGGTTTCTTTAGCCTCATTTATATTAAAATAAGTAACAGAGCAATAATACAAAAAAAATTAATAACGTCAAAACACGAATTCGAAAAAAGGGAGATGCATTTTTTTGCATTTTGTGAGATTTGAAAGGTTAAGAACAACATTGTGCGGACAACTCATCAGCCTAGCCCAAAATTAAATAAAAGGGTGAATAGAAATATCGGAATGAGTTCCTTTTATGGCGTAAAGCCAAAAGCGCGTCCTATGAAGGATAATGAGTTGTAGCAGATGTCTCAGGAATGAAATATTGATTCGGGATCGGTTATATTTTACCGTCTATTAACAAAAACTTGCAAATCGAAAACATAATCTTAAAATTTCTGTAAATGTGTTTTAAATGCCTGTAAATTATTTACCATAGTTAGTAAAGTTATTGCATGAACGTTGGGGCTTTACATTTGCAACGTCTTAAAAGACTAATTTTCATATTCTTAACCAAATCTTAATTCCTAACCATCAATTTGGACCTCTCCCTTCTAGCAGTACTTCAGAGTAGTCGTCAGGGTATCCTCGGCTTTAGAAAACAAGCAATACTGTTCAGCCTTATTTCTGGATGTTACGGAAGCATTCGACCGAGAGTGGTACCCCGGCCTCCTTTACAAGTTAAGAAGTAACCTCCCAACAGCTACTACCTCATCTGAAGTCCTGCCTCTCGGATCGATGGCTTAAAGTGCGAATCGGTGCTTTGTTGGTAGATCAGGTCAAACGAACAAAACAAGTATGCGGAAACGTCAAACCTGCTCACCAGTGCCCATAAACAAGAAGAATACCACCTACAAACCAAGTCACCTTGGGCTTCACTTAGCAGAGTTACATGGAACCCATATACAAGATTAAAAGGCTCTGAACTCAACTACTCAGACAGTAATGAGACCAAAATCAACATACATATAAAAATATCTAGTCCTTCCCCTCGGGCCGACGGTTTAAAGTGAGAATCGGCACCGATTTTGGGAGTGAATCGGGTTAAACGAACAAAAGAGCCAACAAGTTATGAGCAAACGTCAAACCTGCCCACCTACCTTGGGCCTCACTTAACAGACTTACATGACAGAATACTCAGACACTAATAGGATTAATATTTTGATATGTATGTTGATTTTGGTCCCATTAGTGTCTGGGTAGTTAAGTTAACCCTTTTTATTCTTGTACGTGGGTCTGCTGGTCTGCTAAGTTAAGCCCAAGATAGAGGACTTAACCGCTTGCAAAACATTCATCAGAGCTATTTGAACTTACGGATTCGAACTCGGGCTCGGCCAAATCGTCCAACAACCAATGAATTCAACTGTCAATCCAAAGTTCTCCGCCGTATCCTCAATGGTGCCTTCCATCTCACCATGATCTAAAAAGGCTTAAAATACCATTCGTCAATGATATCCGAACATACTTTCCATGAGCCCAAACTCTTTCCTCAATTTCACACCCTTAGAATACCGATGGTCTCGTGACCTCCTATCTTAAACCTCCCAACTAAATAAAAGAGAATGCACTGCTGGTTTCTCTCCCCTCAGCCTCATGGTCTGTCAGATCTGTTATATTTGTATATAATTGTACTATTTGCTCAATTTATATTTATATTGAACAGATAGAAATAAAAAATATTCGCATAATGGTCCTGCGTTTCGATCTAGCTTTGCTCTTGCAATTTTTTGTCCTCTCAAAACTTTTCTTACAACTAAATGTTGATTTGTAATAATAATAAGAAGAAGACAAATCAGGACTCTTATATCTGATAACCACACAATCTCATTCACGTGTCAAACATCAATCTGTAAGAAATGAAAGAATTTCTTCCCTCAGCAGATTTTTCTTGCCCAAGAAAGTGGCTCTTACTTCCCTAAGTTGTGGGCAGTTCGTTCCCGAGAACTCATTGTCAAGAAGACAAGAGGATCTTTAACGTCCCTAGCCTATTCGGCCTTATCGGACGTTTTGATTCTCAAGATGAGGTGTAGAGGCGCCCCAGCCCCTAAGGGCCGAGACAACCTCGCTCTCCGCTTGTCCACTCCGAATGGTCCGGCCCGCATTGTGCATCGGGTCGTATGCCGCACGCAAAGGGCTAACAGGCCGAAATACATCAGCCTGTTCTCCTGCGTACTCCCTAGATAGAGAAGGCCACTCTATTTCCCTGAGTATAGGGGCTCCCCTAGCGTAGAAACTTCCGGGAACGCCCAGGCAGCAGTTTAGTTTAAAGTGGTATTGCTAGCCACACCCTAGATGAGCACCGCCTACGGTAAAGTCTCTATTGAGCTCAGCCTACACCTACCATGCGCATTCGAGGGACGCCATAGGCTCAGCCTAGGTGGTCCAATCCTTCGCTTCCCCAAGGGTACCACGCCGGTCATACGCACAACAATGCAAGGCATACTCGAGTCCGAGACACCGATTCACTACCCGTTTCCGTTCGCTTACTCACCCATTCGAGGGACTATTCAGCATGATCATCGCGTCCTCAACGCTTACACGCTCGTCCGGTCGCAACGTCTCCCGTGAGGTCGGGGGTAATTACGCTGGCCATACGCAAGCTTCACGAAGATCACAGATAGAAGACAGCCTCTGTCTAAGTTCCCGCCAGGTGCGTCACCACGTGCCACCACGAATCCATTCCCAGTGTAACTAGGGATGAATTTGGACTGTTTAGTTACCCCGTGGTACAGACGGCCATACACCCTCCCCCGTCTATGCAGACAGGATCTAGTACACTGCCCCTCGTGTGACTCTGCTAAGGCACCCTCCGCCGATGCCGACCCTAGGCCGACACGAGTACAGCTTGTGCTTTAGAGAGATTGCCACGCCCTCTGGGCTGCACCTTTATTTTGTGCCCGGATACCCCCCTTGCAACCAAGGGTTAGGAGGGGTCACTGAGAAAAAGGGCCATGGATGAGAGGTGAGCGTTTCGGGGTCTCGAGTCTCAAACCACACTATACCACCCGTCGTCGTCGTAGTTCCACACATAGTGGGCCACGACTCCCAGGGTGGGTGCCCTAAGTTGTGGACAACGCTCAAGAAATGATAATGATCTTCTCTTACCTTTATTAACTTTATAATCTGTCATAATGAAAACCGATCAGAAGTTGTTGCACGCTGCATACACTCCGCATGATAAACAGTACTTATTTTGGTTACCCTTAAAGACATGTTATGGAGAGGTAAGAAATGACAAGAATGTTTTAGGACGGTGATATCCACGCTTTGGACCAAAAAGTTTTCTTTTCTAATACTCGAAGTGCACTAATTTTGGGGAAACGGAAACTGTAATAGAAAAAGAATTTAAACAATATTTTATATGAAGTAAGAGAGAGAGAGAGAGAGAGAGAGAGAGAGGGAAGATGAAAATAGAGGAAACAAGGCAGTTTCAACGGCCAACTTAAAGTTTGGGGGTTGAGCACGATTTTTTGGTATAAAAAAACACTGACATTTTTATATACCTATCTCATATTGTTGACAAACCCCAGATTTGAGCACCATAACAGACCACTGAACTAAAGACTGATTTAAATATTTGAATTTTAACAATGAAGGGAATAATAATTAAAGTCTCTCTGTTAACAATTAACTTCGACTAGACTTCATTTAACCTAATTTTTCTATTTTTTCTGTATAAGAGAAAAAGAAAGACGGGGAGTGAAGAAAATTGCTAGATACTTAGATAGAAATCTATTTTTTTACCCCTTAAAAACCAACTTTCTGAACATGCCAACTTACCCCATTTAAAAAAACAATCATTTCAAATTTCATAATTCACAATAAGCTTCAATTGTAGTTATATTCTTCTGAGGCGCAATGTGATCGGCGTAGAGTAATATTTTATTCTTCTTCCACCAGCAAAAAAACACCCTTAGTTTGTCAATAAATAAAGAAAAAAGTAAGGGTCTTAAGATACAACCCTGTCTTAACATTGATAAAATCCGAGATGCCTCCCAGAACTTGAACCGCTGAAGTTGCCGGACAATACAGTGTCTTTAAGATAATAAATTTGGACGCAGTTCTCTTATTGAAAAGCTGTCGATGTAGTCAGAATTATCTAAAGAATCGAAAGCTGCCAACAAATCAATGAATAGACAACAAAACTTTTGCCATGTTTCATGTAGTTTGAGATTCATAAGGTTGGATAGGACAAAAATGTTATCCGGTGCAGAATCCTTTCCGAAGAGGGCCTGAAATTCACCGAGTTACCCATTCTC